CCTGCAGGGCGGCCTCGGGGCAGGCATGCCACAGCAGCTGACGCTGGCCCCCGTGGCCGGTGGGACGACGTTGGGGGGTGGAGGGCTGGTCTCCCTGAGTGGAGCTCCCCTGACACTGAGCTCGGCCCAGATCAACCCGGGGTCTGGAGTACAGACGGTCAGCATCGCGGGGCTGGGCACTGCTGGTGTTCAGGTGCAGGGGGTTCCCCTCACTATTACTGGTCTACAGGGTAAGACCGTAATAAGAGTAACTGTGCGAATGTGAAGTGACTAATCCATCACGGATCCAGTCACTAGCAGAAACAAAAATGTGGTATTAGCAATGAGGTCAGTTATTAATGACATATGAAGCTCTAATGACTCTAATCTCCAATATTGTGGTGAACTACGGCATACATGAACCATTCAGGATAACCTGCTCGCCCATTCAAATTGTGTGACACTTTACTCAAGTCCGTTTTGGATCTTGTTTTTTCAGCTTTTCTCTATTGTCATATTTTTGAGAAATAAGTTTACACATTTTGTCTTTTTTTTTTTTTTAAATCACCTTTCAGGTCAACCACAGGGTCAAGATGGGGTCAAAGTTCAGTCGTCTCCAGTGACGGTCACTGTCGGTAACGTGGCATCGGGCTCATCGATGAGTCCAGACCAGCTGGGCTCAGTACAAAGTTCTTCGGACCAGGAGGGACAGCCCAGCAAGAGGCTTCGTCGTGTCGCCTGCTCTTGTCCGAACTGCAGGGACGGAGAGGGAAGGTACGAAGACATTAGAAACACACAGCTCCGCATAGAGGATTGTTTGACCGTCTACAGCTACGTTTACCTAAACTCATGCTCACATTTTTATGACCACTCCAAAATGAGTGATGACTGTCATGTCATGGTGGGACAACTGGTTTGACAGATGGTCCGAACACAGTGTAACTTGTATCCTAAAGTGAGCGATCTGACCTCTCACCCCCCAGCACTTTGCAATGAGGAGCATGCACCCAGAAATACACCGAGAATATTCAGAGACCGGTCAAATGTGTTCAGCTTTGCTAGAATAATCAATAATACATTTGTTAAAAGTCTGACTAATTCCCTCAGAGAAGTTTAATCTTAGTTTTTGGGTGTGGAGATTACTTCCGCGACTTCTAGACTAACTGTGTTCCCATTTGTTTCAAGTCCTGAAAGCTTATATGAAACACACACACATACCACCTGCAGCTCACGCCTAACTCGAATGTGTGTGTGTTGTAGGAATAGCGGTGACCCCACAAAGAAGAAGCAGCACATCTGCCACATGGAGGGCTGTGGGAAGGTTTACGGCAAGACGTCTCACCTGAGGGCTCACCTGCGCTGGCACACCGGCGAGAGGCCGTTCGTCTGTAACTGGATCTTCTGTGGCAAGAGGTTCACCCGGAGCGACGAGCTGCAGAGACACCGGAGAACACACACAGGTAGGACGAATGCGTACAGGGATGTACACTGGAGATGTGGCTCACCCTGGTCCCGTTGGAAGGCCTTGGGGTGATAGAAACTAAGTATTTTTCTGTGGACTGACTAGTGTCAGCTCTAATTCCCTTATTAACGATACAATTCTACTTTTCCACGTGATTCAACTTCTTGCCCAACAGCTACACGTGTATTTAGTTGTAAACATAAGAGAAAACATCTCCGAGAAGGCACCAACCAAAGCCGGGGGGGGGGGTCCTTTCCTGATTTATTTTTATCTAATTCTTTGTCCTCTCCCCTCTAGGAGAAAAGCGTTTTGAGTGCCCCGAATGCTCCAAGCGCTTCATGCGCAGCGACCACCTCTCCAAGCACATCAAGACCCACCAGAACAAGAAAGCCGGCGCTGCGGTGGCGATCATCACCACCGATGACATGGAGGAAGAAGCCCCCGAGGGCATGGACGCCTCCCCTCAGATTGTCGCTGTGGCAACCCTCTCACGTGACTCTGACCCCGCTACACCCACCACATCCAATCACATGGAGGAAGAGGAGGAGGAGGAGGAGGAGGAGGAGGAAGGGGGGGAGTTTCAATAGGCAACTGACTCCCGTTTCTTTGCTGAAGGCTGACTTCCTGTTTTTTTGGGAGTCTCTGCAGGAACTGTAGGGGGTGGCTAGTTTTTCCTTTTCTTTTTCTTTTTAAACTTTTAATTTGACATTTTAAAAATGTTGTTCTCTCGTGACAAAGGGACTCAAAAGAGACGGGATCATGCGATGAACAGAAAAAGAAAAATATAAACATCACAATCTAAAAATAACTAACGCATATAATAACAAAAATTAAGCCGAAACATATGAAAGATTAGTTTGGCATTTATAAAATGAATCTATAACAATTCCAATCGCAGTGGGGAAAGGAATGTAAGTAGTGTCTAGATTAGCACAAGATTAGCCTGCTGAATCTAAAACCATCCAACATGGAGGCACGTTGTCTGAATTGCAACAGAATCAAAACTCTATGCACAAAGTTGTGTTCCTGTTTCATACCTGTCGGACTGCGCTGAGAGTCAATCATGGTACAGGACTGTTGCAGAGCAGCGATAGAGCAGGGGGCAGTCTGGGACGGTGTGTGAGTGCATGTTTGACTTGTATGAACGAGTGTGTGTGTGTCTGAATTCCCACGCTGTCACCGAGAGGATCTACCTAATTTGAGTTTTATTCATGGTTCAGGTTTAGTCCTCAGATCAGATTCAGGTGTTGATTCCTCCGAGACCAGTCAACGGATAAACTGTTATTGAAGAAGAGAGGGGAATTCAAAAAAATAAAAATAAAAAAAAGAGTAGAAAAAAGCACATATAAAAAGATTTATAAATAATGCATTCCTATTGAGGCACCGTGGCCATTAGACAAAAAGTGTTTCTATAGAGAAAAACAATCTAGCTTTCTACAACCTTGTTTGTGTAGTGAAAGCAATACTTTAATGACAATCCTAGTGAAACCATGTTTACATTGTCGGGGGAAGTTTTCTCTGTTGATAAAACAAGCCAGAATAGTGAGAATATGTGAAAGCAGTGCTGTCGTCCGAACAAATCCTGTTGCTTTGCAGATACCACAGGGTGGCTTTAACATCGCGGCTGCAGTCCATCCAATGCCAGTTTGTACTTTTTATACATTTAGATTTCCATCAGATGGTACCTGGCAGATGGGACGACAGTTTTGTCGGACAGCGGCACCGTCACTGATGTTGGTTTTTTTTTTGCTCTCTGTGCTCTGGCGACGGCCCCTCTGCACCTCCAACCCCGCCACGTGACCGATGTGCCACAATTGCCTTAACACAAGCTGTCGGTACGGAGGGAACCTCGGAGTTAGCTGGATGGAGAAAGAGGGGAGCGGTCCTGCATTACGAGGAGGCGACACGGAGAGCACAGCACAGAGAGGTAAAGAGCCACAGAGTGACGAGAGCTGTGGGTGGGAGAGGGTCGGGCTACTTAGCTATGTGGATATTATGAGACGTTTTCTGGTGGTGTTGCTCTGTGTGTTAGTTCAGTGCGTACATTCTTTTGAAATTAAAAGATACTTTTATTTGTTAGAATTTATCAGTTGTTCCCCTCACAGTAAGTTAACACACAGGACCCCACTGTGTACGGCTAATTTATTATTTATCCTTGAGTTGTACTATTTGCCTTTTGCTGGACTTGTGTTTGTGTGCGTTGATTCTGAGGTTGTGTACAGCATGTTTGAGTTTTTTGCCGTAGCGCTGCTTCTCTCTTCTTTAATCTTTGTGCTTCTGTTTGCTTTTTCTACGTCTGACCATTGCTGTTCATTTCTTCTTCTTCTCTTTGCGCCATAACGTGTTTTTTGGAGGAAAATAAATAACAAAAGAAGAAGAAAGCAAAAAAGTTACTATTCTTTAAAGTTGAAAAGGTTGATACCAAACGAATTTAGATGTTTTTGGTAATATTTTGTGTGACAACCAACTTTCTTTTCTTTGATATTTTGTAGTGACATCTCATTTGTAAATCTTTTTCTAAAAAGATGTTTGTTCGTCTCCATAACATTTGATAATGGGTTTTTGCCAGGTTAGCCTCAAAGGCCCCAGTTTATTGATATTTTTAAAACTGGTTTGTACAAACGTGTTATGTCAATAAAAAAAGGAAAACTTCAAGCAGAAAAGATGCTTTGCCTGCATAACACTCGGCAATAAAGTGATTGAAATGGTCTTAAATTCCACGCTGATGCTTTGGTATTTGTGTGACCAATAGAAAACACGGCGGAGCCCTCACAATATCTACACATGGTACACTCTGACTTTAACACACACACACAGTCTCTATAACGTCTGCCGCCCGATTATTACTGGGTAATCCCTCATTTGTGTTGCGGCAGCAGTGATATCCGTATTTCCTTTGGGAACAATTACTGTTCCCAGTTACAGTTTCTGCCGTTGATGGACTCCAAATTGATGCTGTGAGAATCAAACCTGTGACTATTCAGTTACCACTCAAGAACACACAGCTGCTTTGAACTAATTGAGTTATGAGGAGTATATTTTTGTTTATGTAGACGGATAATGAGCCAATAAACCGTCTACTTCAGAAAACATGAACTACAAAACCCCCCGAGTGTAACTCCACTACGATCAAAGTGACTTCTGGGAGTTCAGCAGCAGGTCACTCTTGACTGCAAGTATACAAAAAGAATCAAGTAGTAGGCAGCTCACGCAAACCTTTGACACGTCGTTCCTTTGAAGCACTTCAAAAAAAAAAAAAAAAAACACCCAAATCTACAACCTCTCTCTGCACCCTCAGGCGATTTTGTGGATCTGTGAAGGTAAAAAACTAAAAAGTTTACTGTAGTGAACTCTCAAAGGTTCACTACAATAACAAGGACAGGTTTTGATGTTTTGATTACACCGGCGGGAAACCTTTTCCAGGACCCGTCTGCAGATCTGTATCACCACAGTGTGCACACACAATGAAGATCCTCCATGGGACCTCAGGTTGACCTCTGACCCCTGCCCTGCAGCAATGCTACCTGGTCATTACAGGAGATCAGCTGACTGGCTCAAGAGCAGCAGTTCACCTGGACCTGATCCCTCTCACCTGGAGAAACAGGTACACAGCAGCCGTGCACACACAAGCAGCAACCTTTTAGAAAACTTTGGTGCAGCTTAAAAAGGTATAAGCACCTCCCCTAAATGTACAATAATGTTAGCATGGCAAATCATTTACACAATGCCATTCTTTATTAGAATTTACAGTGGACTGAGAACAACAATACTGTAAAGTTAGTCACTTTAAGAAAGGTAGTTGGTATATAAAAAAGGCTCCTTTTGCATCGATACCTTACATTTGTTCTAGTTAACATCAAGAAATATTCAAAGGAAAATATACAACTCAAAACGGAGTACCGACTTAAAAACAACAAAAACATCCCTGCATATTATGAAGCCTTAAACCACGATATAAAAAACATAACAGTGTATGTGCCTTGTGTTAAGGCAAGATTAAACAAACATCCGTTTGCTTTTGTTTCTCTAGTTAGATAGAAAGGTTGATCTAAACCTACAAATGTGCGTTAGAATGAGTTCTACGGTACTGTGCAGCACGAGAGCCTGCTCCAGGTTTTAGCCGTACGAGCAGGTTCTCCTCCCTGGTCTTCGCTCTGGACTTTAATGCAGATCCCTCCGAATGCTGCAGTGGAGACAAAAGCAAACATGAGCTGCTGCCACAATCGTTCTGTGTGGCTGCAACTAATCATTGTTGTCTTAAATATCAGAAAAAACAAATCAAAAAAAAAAAACATAATTTCTCAGAGCTCAAGGTAACGTCTTCAAATTGTATATTTACGCTCCAAAAACCCAAAAGATATTACAACATTTAACAAACATCTAGTGAGGCCGTTTTAGAAACTGTGCATTCAAAAAACAATCAATCACTTGACACAGATATTGAAAGTCGTATGTAGAATTGGCTTAATTTAGTATATTTATATTTTCTTAATTCCATGCTCAGTACAGTAGCACAGACATTTTCCAACAGTTATTTTACACTGACTGCGCATATTTTCTTTAAATTTCTAAAATGTTCACATCGTGGCAGTTTTAGGGGAATCCCTTACAGGCCTGTAGCCGTGAGAATGAACTGACGTACCTCTCCAGATACTTGTGGACGTTGTCATGGCCGCTGTAGCGAGCCAATCCCACCAGGATGCCGGTAGCACAGCGGCCCTCCTTCTTACGACACAGGCTGCAGTTACACATCTCTCGGCAGATGGGGCACGACCACGTCTAGGGAGAAAATGTCCACATTTAACAACCGTGTTGTTACCCGACTGCACAAGTGAATCCCTGTTGAGGTTTTATGTCCCTTCCACCGATCCATTTTCTTTCCGTTTATCCGGGGCCAGGTCACGGTGGCAGGAGGGTATTACAGACGTCCCTCTCCCCAGCAATGCTTTCCAGCGCTGCAAGGGGAACCCCGAGGCCTTCCCAGGCCAGAGGCTCTTACCAGCTGCACGTGCACGGAGAACCTCTAAAGAGAGGCGTCCAGGAGGCATCGTGATCAGATGCCCGAACATCCTCAGTTGGCCCCTTTTGAAACGGAGTAACGACTCTCATTTCCTTCAACCCTCAAGTCTTAAACATTTTCAAATCACCTGCTTTTGCTACTTGTGGGACTGAATACTTAACACACACTTGTGATTTTGTCGTACTAAACTTTGCACAAACAGGCAAGCATTCACAATAAGCCACACACTGACTAATATTCAGTGTGTTTGAGATTGTTCTTATTGTTCTTTCGGCAGGATATTGGATGATACGTGGTCACTGACTTGGTGCTTTGCGCTGCATTTCCCTGTGATAACTTCCCCACATTGTCACCAGTACTTTGACTGAAAGACAGCCGCTCCTGAGACTGTGATAAGCACAATGTAAATATATCTAATATGTTTTGTAACATATGTGCAAGCTTCTGTTAGCATGACTACCTACTCTCTTCTTGTGTTTAGTTTCACTTGTTAACCGAACACTGTTCTAAACAGAAAACAAATGAGAGAAAGATCCTCTCACTCTTAATAAAAGCGACAGGAAAACATTAACCGTGGAGCAAAAAGTTGTCAGTGGTTTTCACACACAGGCGAACATGCCACTCCATGTACGCAGTGATTCATGTTACATTCTGCATGCTTGTACTTGTGTTTGCCAGTAATGAAGTGGAAGTTTCTGTAGGTGGTGTTCTTTGCTTTGTTCAGCCATGTTGGTTCACACCTCTTCTGTTGAATACTCTGTTTGGCTTTTGATCAAAACAAACAGGGTGTTTGAAAAAAATATATAAAAAGTTTTCAACAACGCGATATCAATCGGTATAACTGAAAAGGTATTTCTCTGAAAGCCTTTCAGATTCTCGCTGTAAAAACACATTATTTAAAAAATCTGAACAGCAAGGCAAAAAAACCCCCAAACATTCAAGAATATAAAATATAAAATCAAGGTTAATATACATTTTAGGGAAATACTCTAAGACACTTAAGACCTAGCAATAGCTTTTCACATAAAGTGACAGGATTTAAAAACAAGACAAATGGGTTTTTAAGTCGGTTTGTAACTTAATGTAACCGACATTAAAATTCAGCCACTTCAGGTTCAATGGGCTTTGTTTTGCTTCCGACGACCCCCACATTCATCTCAAGTTCAGTCCAAAGTTAACGTGTGTAGTCGCACTGACCGGGTCGAGCAGCACATCGCATACGTCTTCTCCGTAGCGGTTCTTCAGGCACGGCCCGCAGAACTGGCCTTTTCCCCCCACACAGAAACCGCTGCGACACACCGTCTTGGTGTCCAGAGTCTTCTGTCTGCACTGGTGACACGAGCTGCCCTGGAAGAATGAATGAATGAATGAATGAATGTAAGACAGACAGAAAACCTGACAGTACAATACAGAACCAAGACCATTGAATGGGTAAAAGCCTGATGTGACTCACATTGTCTTTGTCCCAGATCTTGTCTTTGCTGCGGTACGCTACGTTGTCCAGTTCTTCTTGGGTGATGTCGTCAACTGACCTCACTTCATACTGGCTCCTCCTGGGGCTCTTCCTCTTTTTCTTTTTCTCACCAACATCCTCGTCCACCTGCCCAATCACAACCGACAGATTGCAGATGAATAATGTACTTAATTATAAGTATAATAGTTTTTGTATTTGTAGAATGCCTGCTGGGATTAACGTGGGATTAATGTGTTCATCACTTTAATGTTGAAGCTGGTAAAGGTGGAGCTAATACAACATTGTATACTTGATGACATACTACTTAATAATACATCATAATATATTTGTTGATTCATATTTTGTATTTAGAATCTGAATCTCCAATGTAGCTTGTAACTAATATTGTCAAATAAACATAGTAAAAAAAAAAAAACATTTCCCTCTGAGATGTAGTAGACTAGAAGTATATAGTTACATAAAATGGAAATACTCTCAAAATTGTACTTAAGTAAAGTACATTCCACTACCAAAAAAAACTTGTTTACGAGAGCACAAAGTTCTTCGTAGATCTAGCCACCTTCATTTTGCACCAGATTGATGCATTTAACTTTAAAACGTACATCATTTCCCCCTCTAGGGAGATCTGCGGGCACGCGGTGAAGTGTGAAGTGTGTGTTGCTCATCGTACCTCCACCAGTCTCCTGATGTCGACATTCCTGGGTTTTCTGATGGTGAGCGGCTCGCTCTTCTCCTCCACTGCAAAGTTCTCAGGAGGACGAGCCTTACGAGACGGGTTCCTCCTCTCTGACCCCACATCGGGTTCAAACCTGCGTTTCCGTGTGGTCGCTTTCTCTGACGCCCGCTTCTTCTTTTCCTTCTGCGTAAAATAAAGCAAAGTAAACATGTGGTCTTTCGTGAACATCGACACACACATTAATAGTAGTATTAGATTATAGTTTTACAATTTTGGAAGACGTCTCACTTTTGTTGCAATGGAGTTTGAATGAACTTACTCTAAATCGCTTTGGACAAAACAGTCAGACACAGTTTAACCAAAGTCTATGGTTGTGAGAAAGTGGCGCTCGTGCGTATACTCACTTCAGGGGTGGTGGGCAGATTCAGGTCACCCATGGTGCTCAGACCAGCAAACAGCTTAGCCAGCTGAAAGACAACAGCAGAGAAGAGTAAAGGACGTGTAACAAAAAGGAAGGAGGGATATCATGTTAGTACACCGATCACACAGTTTGTCAGAATGAGGAGAAAACACAAAAAGGTTGTAAGGGTTCATTACCATGGCCTTGTTTTCCTGAATGTTCTTGTCTCGTTTCCGGAGGCTCTGAGACAGGACCTCCTCCTCCTCCTCCTCCTCTTCTTCATCCTGCTGCTGCTGCTTCATCCTTTGCCTTCCTCTGGCTCTCCATGAAGGAGGAGATTCTTTGACTGGCTTTTTGACATTTTTCCCTTTCAGTTCCTGTTTGGGGGTAGACAGTCTTTTGACGGGAAACCTGAGGAACAAGATTAAATAAGAATGAACACATTTATCATAAAACAGGTCTGTGTTTCTGACCAGGTCCCTTGTATGGCTGGGCAATAAGAGGAACCTACACCCAATTCCTTCTTCCTGATCTGGATTTGAGCCGTCAAATGTGACACAAATAATTAACCTCACGAGTAGTTACAGCGGCACCCGCAATAAGAGGCTCCGTTCACTCATCAACTTTGCCTGTTCAAGACCAAGTCGAATAATTTTCTCATAAATAACAGGTGGCCAGTAGCATTGGCTTCACTTTTCAGAACCGGAGGTTGCCTTCTGTTAAAGACACATCATGTAGGTATACGCTTGTAGTGCAATAACATCAGATTCTTTGCTAGCAGCACTTAAGGATATTATACATAAACAAACAGAGCAGACTTCGACACATGGATGTAGGTGTTCCAACATACTGAGATACAGCGTTCATCTCTATGTTAAAAAACGATCTGCTTGCTTATTTACCAATTGACACACACACACACACACACACACCTCAGGGCAACTAAAAGACTCTTCCTCTTTGGCGGGGGGGCATCCTCGCCATCAGAGTAGAAGCCCGTGTCCACGTCGCTGTCCTCCTCTGATGCCACCAGCTGGAGAAAACCAGAGAGAATAAAAAGCATTTAGTCTGGAGCTTATTTGGCTGCGGTATATCGCACACATGTCCATCAATTAATACAACCAACAATAATCATTTCATACCTTTTTCTTTTGCCGTTTGTTAAAAGATGGCTTGTCCTCTTCTTCCTCATCCTCACTGAAACCTTCAAACTCCTCCTCGCTGTCAGACTGGCTGAACAGACGAGCCAGCTCAGCTGTGATGAACTTGGATTTGAAACACGGCGCCTGTTGGCAGACATATTAAACTAGGTTTGGTGGAATAGATGACGGGGCATTTTTGACTCGGCACATGCACTCTGGTGACACGGTACACAGTCCTGCCGCTGGTGTCGAGCTATTCCACTAATGAACAGGTAATGGTAAACAAGCCATTATATGCTGCAATGCACCAGCAAAGACAAGAGAGAAGACCGCACGCTAGAAAACATAGATGTAAACAATACTGGCTAAAAAAAAAAAAAATCAGCTTAGCAAAAGTTCAATGGGGAAGAAGAGCACTCAACGTGTCAGAGCTCAAGGATAACACAATGCATTTTCAGTGAGTAACACTGACTTTAACCAGAAAACCCCACAGGACAATAATGAACCATTTTCACACTTTACACCAGAGGGAGCACCATCCCATCAGTGGACACACCCTTGACTTCACTGAGTGAATGCTGTGGGAATATTGAATATACACTTAAACCTTGTACTTTGTTGACTTTTGGCTTTACTTGCGTGTGTAATGAATACATAATTAAAAATAATTAAACCATTTGTCACTTTCTTCCTCTTTCATTCCGACCTTATTAAAACCAAATATGTATAAGGGTTTCAAAGTGGTAACGCATCCACTATTTGGGGCACATTAAAAAGAAGGTAATCAAATACAGAAAATATAACCACATCACATAGTTATTTCACAAAATACGGAAATATTTTATGTTTTATATTATATGGGCAATGCATGAATATATAAATATCTAATTAAGATACTGTCCACACCATCACAGCAGCGGTCTAAGGACCAGAACATTTTTTCTTTGGGAGGCTTCATGAGCATGTCATCTGTTCAAAATCATCTTTATAAGCAACTCCCATAAAATTAGGGAAATATATGACGTAGCAAGCTGATAAAACAATGTAAAGTATATTTTTGAGATGTTAAAGAGGACAACATCAGGGTTAAGTATTAACATGTTATTATGCTTTTTTTAAGCCTGGAGTCTTTGACACATATTTGCACGAGAAACTGTAGTTTTTATTGGGTGAAACAGAGGCATGCTGTGTCTGATCCATTTGTTGATGTCTGCAGAACCAGGAGTGTTGACCTCTGACCCGTTGACAGAACACTGAACATTGCACTCTTTTACAGTTCAGGCATCTGGCCAAAATGTAATGGATCACCTGAACGTTGATGTGAAGCAGCTCACGTGTAAGCTAGCTGTGCAAACCAGGTCAAAACAAAGACCTGAGAAGTTTAGACATTGTGACTTTTCTTCCAACACAGGAACCACCATAGTAGAGCTACATTTAAACGTACTGCTCTGCTGTCTTACCTTCGACGCGAGGGTCATTTTTATCTCCGTTTATCGGCAAATTTCCGTTCAACAGAAACTTTTGTCTTGCAGCACGAAAGCGGAGCGGTGGGTTTAAAAACGAACCACTGGAGCATACTGGTCATTGCAAAAGTAGGGGTTTAGTTGTCGTTGGGCTTATATATTAGTTAGTAGTTATGTCCAACACTTGTACTTTGAAGGCTCCACCAACAGCCGACCAATAAAAAAAAGCCCCCGCTACCTTACGTCGATCAATTAAGAGGTTTCTACCCATATTTAGAAGTAGTCTCTCTTCACAGCCCCCCCCCACATTGACAATGGTACAGTTCACCGTTCGCGCGAAAAGGGCTAATGGGCGTGGTAATCTATAAGAACCTGATAAGAGTCTGCCCCTACCATAGAAAGGGGCCTAGTAACGCGCGCGCGTGTGTGTGTGTGTGTGTGTGTATTATAGAAAACTACAGTGAATTTACCCGTTTGGTCTGTTGGTTTCTTTGCATCTGCCCTGGAATTGTAGACACAAATGCTTTTGTATTATTAACAACATACTCCATGAGATCGTGTATCTCACTGGTACAATCCTGGCTAAATAAAGGATACATAAAATAAACATAAACAGACTTTTAGCAGTGGTGAAATCTCACTATGTATTTTCACCATCAATTTTGAGGTAGGCTACTTGTACTTTAATGTACTTTATTTCCATTTATGCTGTTATTATCTACACCATTTCAGAGGCAAACACATTATCCGTTTTACTCCATTGCATGTACAGTATGTAGAGTTTACAGTTATAAGTTACTTTGCAGGGAAAGATTTTACATCAGTTTCTAAAAGAAATTGTGTTGATTTAGCCAGTATTTAGTTCGAGCTGCAATTAGCAATTAGTTTCATGGTCAATTCATCTGTCAACGATTTTATGAACTAATAGTGTAGTCTATGTATGTTAAAATATTAGAAACAAAATGCAAATCACAATTTGTCAGAGCCCATGGTGACCTGATACATGAAACTGCCGATTACATAAGATAACAGTGAACACTGATGGTTATTCTGCTGTTTAATTAATATTTTTTCTTATGATACTTCAAATACATTGCTGAAACATACTTGTATGTATAATTACTTGTATTGGAGTATTTGCACATTGTAATAGGCCTATCACTATTTTTTTTAGTAAAATATCTCAATATTTTTTCTACACTGACTTTCAGGCATTGCCTAATCTTTTGAGAGGATTTTCTGCTGGTGAAAGTTAAAACATTAGTTTTTGATGGACTCAAGTTTCCTGGATCCATGGGTGCCATATTTTGTATTTGGACAGGCTCAGTAACCTACAGGAGTCTTCACCAGTTGTCTGGCAACTACTCAAAGCAAGAATTACCTCAGCACATTTTTTGTATGGAACATTGTATTGAACAAATCAAATGCGATAATAACTGAGCTTCAGAGGTATACAGGCCTATTTGGTTATCGTTGGACAGAGCCAGGCTAGCCGTTTCCCCAGTCTTTAGGCTGAGCTAGGATAGAAGACTGCTGGCTGTAACTTTTAGGCCAAAAACTTTAGGCTCAATATTTTCCTAGCACAATTGTACTCCTAGCAGTATGCAGAGGGCTTTGAGATACCTTCAATTTGGAAAATGAAAATATAGCCTACAGACAATATATAGTTAAAACCAGGGGAAGGGAGCCTTGATTTATGACCTGATTATTTTTTTAAAGCCTGGCTATGACCCAAATACTTACTGTCACTTGTTTTAATTTCCAAGGGCACTCTGCCAGATTGACAATCACACACCACCTGCATCACCATCTATGTATTCTGTTTGTCTCACCTCCTTCATTACTACTTTCATTACTGTTGTTTAGTTGTCAGAAGCCTGCTGGGTAAAATACACATCAGGATGACTGCAAAATAATAGTGGTTAGCAGCGTCAGGAAACCATATTGCTACACCCCGGGTCCAAACCAACGCTAACCAGACCTCCACACACACACACACACACACACACACACACACAGCACATGGCAGGGAGTGCTTACCACTTCTAATCACAGTTCATGCCAGCTGGATTCAGCAGAGATGAGACAAAGGCAGCTGTTTATACATTGCAAAACTGTTCTGCCTTTCCCTCCACTGCAACTATAAACTATTTAGCTTAAAGTCCACAATTATTCTTTCAAATTGAAATGGTCTCCTCTCCATCTCTTCCTCCTTCTCTCATTTCCTCTCGCTGCTCGACTCTTGTTATGTCCCTGTCCCACTATAACGATTTTGGGTCATTTCAGGGATATACAATTTAAACTTTTGATACTGTTGCGTTTGATCTGTTTGCATGAGTCAACAGTACAGGGAAAAATGATGTGCACTTTACATCCATCGAGTTAATTCCCAATAACGCTTCAGTGAAACAAAACTGTCAAGGTGTAAGTGGTTGTTCACCTTTTTTTAAATGTGTTCAACTTTGTGTTTTAATTATACGTTTGGGGGAAGTATTTTTGGTCCCTCTTGCATCGAAAGCAAATAATCATTAACCTTTTATGAAATGCTGAACAAGTCAAAGATGTGATGTGGGCAGTGATTAAGAGGTCTGGAACCAGGCTTCATGCTCCCACTTTTAGACTCATTCACTCACTATGAATGTGCTCCATGCTGGCTTCAATCTTTGCTATTTCTGTTTCCTCCAGCTCTCCTTCTTCTCCCCATGATTGACTCACCCAGACTATATCTGACACCTGTCCATATTTATTTTTCAGAGGAAAATTATCCTTTCACTACATCATCTTATCAGAGTATTTTATAGTTTTCAGAGTAGATTGAGGGGCAGAGATGTGGTCAGTGGTGTGGTTTCTTCCTTTGTCACTTCTGATGTTGTAGACTGAAACTGTGGTAATTTTACTGTCATGTCCAGGCAGTTATCTTTCTCACAGAAACATGAGTTGAGTTAGTGCCATGTGACGTGATACTGTATGTTCAGAAAGTAAGAATACAGAGAAGATAATCATCAGTACTCAAGTCAACATGCGGGGAACTTATAAGGCAGAGATATTTTGAAGCATTTCCTCTTCAGTTTTCATACTGTTGTTATTTAAGGTTTATTAGAAGTGATTACTGTTTTATACATTTTTGAGATGTGCATATAAAATGGATTAAGTAGTTATAATTATGTCGAACCGTTAAACCTGTGTTGTTCCCAGATTTAACACACGCACACATACACACACACACACACACATACACAGTGGATGATGGACAGCTGGTGCAAAACACCAATTAGGTATCTGGTATATTTTATTATCATATTATTTATTTTGAGAGTATTAAAAGTAGTGGAAATATTCCCTTTGATCAACCACCGGAGTTACGTGTGAATTTCCAACACTCGTGATAATAAACAGTTACCAGGTTCAATCAGACATATGTGACATCTCAGTTACTAAGGACAGTTTGTGCGAGATGCACAAACAAAGGGAAAAGTACGTGAACATTGGTCATCGTTCCATTTCAGCTCTCCAGGATAGTTGGTCTGGACACAGTGTTCATATCCTTTGATGTGGTCTGGCTGTCCATTGCTCCAATAGACAAATTTGGCTGCAGACCCATCAGACCACAGCCA